CTGTGAACATAATCTAAATGCTGAAAGAGGGGTGATTTAAAAAAACAAACAAATGTGAACAAGCCTTCAACATTTGCAGAATAAAAAGTGGTTTAAGCTGTGGAAAAATAACTGTGTCACAGTCCGGTTTACACACGAATAACCCAACTGTCCTCGACACGATGAATTCAAGAACTGAGTTTCGTTTCTCCACAGAAAAGCCCCGCACATGCTCAGAACAGCCACCCCGGAACACGCGCCCGCCGGGCACGCTTCTGCGCTTTCCCTCCTCTCACGAATGGACCGTACTACTAAAGAGAGACTCGGTACACGACAGACTAATACGTGGGAACAGTGTTTCGCGGGCATCCTTACTAAAATAAATCCAAGTAAATCCCATGGGAGGCCGGGCTGCTGCCTCGAAGAGGGTTATTTTTTTTTCTCTTGCCCCCACGTTGTGGTTAGACTTGGGCGGCTCCAAACGGAGGCGGGCCCCGAACGCGAGCCCTTCACCAATAGGAGAGCAAGTCCTCGTGGAGTGGCGGGGGCCGCGCCTAATGAGGGGCTGGAACTGAGGCGTGAAGGTGCGACTCGCGCCCTGGAATAGGCTGGGTGGGGCGTGAGTGGGCCTTTCTCGGCGGCTGAGGGGAGTTGGGCGCCGCGCGAGGCGCAAGAAGGCCTTTGACGGCGCAGGCCGGCGGCCGGTGGATGGGTGCGTTTCGTCTCCGGGAGAGGAGACCTCAACGGTACGGCTCTTCGCATGTCTACTCGGAAGTAAGCCCCGCTGAATTCGGTGGAGGTCACTCCCAGGTAAGTCGGCGAGGAAAGGCGTCGCGGCGGGGTGAGGGGGTTTGTTTCCGCCCTGGTGCCCGGCAGGAAGGGTGCGAGGAGCCCTTTACCTCCAGGTGTTTGAGCGGCTCTTCCGCTTTTGCGTCTCCCCGCGATCAGAAATCCGCGGGATCGAGAGCGCAAGAGCACTGGGGGGGGGCAGCTGAGGATCTCCTGCCCCGCCGGGCCTGCGTTCACACAGCCCGCTTGGCCTCGTCAGGTAAGGACTGAGGGGCTGGGTTTGCTGGGAGCCTTCCTCTTGGTTCGGGTTGCGCTTTTGTGTGTTGTGTGAATGCGCTTCAAAGCCGCCCTCCCTTCCCCGCTCCGTGTTGAGTCGGGTCGCTCCGAGGGGGAGCGGCTGCATTTGCGCGATCTGCAAAGTTGGACTCGATTTCAGCTTATCCAAACTTCAAATGATTTAATTAAGAATTAAATTATTTACACTCGACTTAAACTTGGGGGAAGGAGCTGTAAGTATTGAAGATGGTGGTTAGTAAAATTAGGCGGTCGGGCTGTCCTTTGTAATATACAGTACTGCGCAAATGTTTTAGGCGGGTGTGAAAAAACGCTGTAAAGTAAGAATGCTTTCAAAAATATATATTGTGATTGTTTATCAATTTACAAAATGCAGAGTGAGAAAACAGAAGAAAAATCTAAATCAAATCAATATTTGGTGTGACTACCCTTTGGCTTCAAACC